AAGCAAAATGCGAGAATAAATTTACAAATCATGTTATCGGGGAGAAAGAGAGAGAGGAGAAGTGAGGGAAGCAGAGAGCGAGAGATGATGGTAGACATTTGCTTGCCTATGACTACTCGAATTGGCCGGTAAACTTGCAAGTGCGGAATCCAGACCGGTTGTCAACTTTGCCGCTTCCTTAATGTCAGTACGATTCGGTGTTGAGATACGTAGACTTGCGATATTTGGAGTCACGGGCTAAAAGTTCATAGCTTAGATATGAAGCTGAAGCAGACCATTACAACAAAGCTGTTTACCAGCTCTAGCAGAGCCTCAATCAACGACACAAAACGTTTTCGATTACCTTTTCATCTTTGACCACCTTCGAAGCTGGCCTCTCTAAGACTGCTGACTGTGAGGAACATTCACTCTTATCCAATCCAAGCCCTATAGGAGAAGCCTGACCAAAACCTGCTGGGACGACCGATGTTGGGGGAATCGTAGACGGTTCTGATAAAATGATTTCAGTAATTGAGTGGGACAGTCATGAGTGCTTTATAAGGAACCACCATCAAATCAGCAAGTGACTGAAATCAGTAAAAATGTAACCATAAATGCCACTGATAGAAGAATTTCCAGTATAAAGACCGTACAGATTCACTTAAATTGTTCACTTTTATTACTGTTGAGCACTGCTAAGATGCTACAAATTTACTTCTCAGAGTAGTGAGTGGTATGCAGAGCATTGACCCTGGGTGAGAGTCGAACTCGTGCTTCACACCAACCGATGCGCGTGTTGCACTATACCACAGAGGCCATCGCTTTAGCTGCACTTCTTCTTCGATATTATCTTATCATAGCCATCAGCAACCAACCTCTGACGGGTTTAGTCGGCTAACTACATATCGGCATTTAAACCAGTTATGCTGATAGCCATTCTCAGTGGCGTAGTGGTAGCACGCGCCCCCTATGTGGATGAAACGCGGGTTGAACTCCTGCTTGGGCCCCAATGCTTTGCATACTAATCAATACTCTTAGACCGCACGTATTATCTTTACAAATAACGACTGAACTCCAATAAGAAGGGTTCAGATTCATAATTAGACGATTCATCGCGTAAAAATGGACTCACTTTCGTTGACATCCATGGCAAACATCTCATCGCCTCCAAATTCGTCACCTTGAGACGTTTCAACACCATTCTGTTCTTCAGGTATGAATTCGTCCACTCTCACATCGGACAGATTGCTAGAGGGTCCCCCCTGCCGTTGATAGATGTACCTACCTAAATAGAATGAGAGTTTGATTGACAAAAAACGAAACGAAATGAGTTGCAGATGGGGCAACTGGTACAATTTGATTTATGCGACAAGGAGAACAATCGTTTCGTTAGCCAAAAACTCAATTACAAAGAGAGGACTGCCCATAGCATTCATAGGGCACAACTACCTGATTATACCTGAATAGATAAATATTTCTTCTCCATTAACTGAGAATTAAAAAACATCGATGAAGATATAAGAAGTGAACAACACATGAAAGCGCTTGAATCGAAGGGTTTAATTACTATACTTTCTCTGGACGGAAAAGACAGCCAAAAGCACTTTCACAGACGATTTACATTACTTGTCCATTAAAGGATAAAGGATAAAGCTCTTGACGTTGATCAATCCCTGAGGGATGCGCCATGCATTCGACTTCAATTTTTGACTTCGTTTGAGGTGATTGAATGCATATCTGGCCTTTACAATGACTCGCGGAGGCCTCCCGCTGCACCGAGTCAGTGCTGCTTATCCTCCCAGACAAGTCTGAGACCTGTCTGGTACCATTATGAGGCGACAAACTCATTCGCTGAACAGCAACTTTTCGTACGGGTGCTAGTGAACATTCGAAAGCATAGAGATCTGGCTAGAGCCCCACGTGGCCGGTTTTTGCAGAAGCTTTTTATAACGTCGTTACAGAGGGAAATTTCTTGCGTCAGAGTAGTAAAAGAGGCCTTGCTCTATAGTCTTACGGGTGAAAACTTTTAATAAGTCCACTTATACTCCTATAAATATCATTTCAACGCCGCAGCCTGAAAATGCTGCCAATGCTTTTTCTAAACAGCAAATTTTCGGAAGGTAAACCCAGATGCGCATATTTCTCGCCGGACATCTTTCTTTGGATTCCAACGCTGCGCTTACATCTAGAATAGACCGTTTCTCTACAACGCAGCAGGTAAAATAAGCCGAATTAGCATGTACGATTAAGGAGGTCTTTGACCAATTCACGTGCCGCTGACGCGATGTCGTAAGAGCGATCCAAAATCGATCGATCATCGCCTCAGCGCACGTGAGCGCCTCAGCCAGCGGCACGCAGATTGACCAAAGACCCTCCTAATAGCACATGCGAATTCAACCTATTTACCTGCTGCGTTGCACAGAAACAGCCTTAGAATGTAAGCACAGAGTTGGAGTCAACAACGATTACGCTATCAAACGATTACCAATAGCAAGAAGGAAGGGCCTGCCCAGCGAGAAATATGTGCGTCTGAGACATGGTTTTGTGTCGATTTTATAGCGTTATAAAAGGGTCTTTTCGAAAAAACGGCGACTTGTGGCTGTAGACAGAAATCAAAGCTTGCGAATGATTATTAATACTACCAAGAAAAGTTACTGTTCAACAAATGAGATCGGTTTTTCATTTGTCGCCTCAAAATAGACAAGTGATTGATTTACTTATTTATTTTATATTGTACGACCTGAATTCACCGTGAGGAGACGTGGCCAAGTGGTTGTAATCCTTATTGCGGCGTGCGCGGGACCGAACCGCATCCCCCATGCTCTCCGGCGGTCAACAACAACAGCCTCTTGGAAAGCCACAGCCAGGCTATCCTCGAGATTGCAAGGTGATACGCCTAACAAGTGTTCTATGACGTGCAAGAAAGGTGACGAGAAAAGGTTCTGAAGGATAGAAGCACTGAAAAAAAAACACTGTGAAGACGAATCAATAAAGTGTCAAAAGTGTGTCCTCACATGTTGTTGTGAGGATCCTAGTACTTCTAGCACTCGATTGGTCTCCTCGCATCCATCTCTTGAGGATTTGTCTTCTTCATGGACGTCGTCGAATTATGGCCGAGCACACCTTGCAATCTCGAGGATAGTCAGGCTGGGATAAGGCGTTCAATGATTGGTTGCCGAAGAGCGCTTGCGAGATCCATCTCGCGCTAGGCATCATTAACCACTCGGCCACCGCCACGGAGTTTCTTTCATGGGCAAAAGAAGGACTGAATTCCATAGGTAAAAATGAACTCACTAACACTCGGAGATACTGCAATCTCTTCCTCATATGACTGCCCATAGTAATCGTCATCGTCGTCCAGTTCTCAAAACCTAACTATCACGAGAAAAGCAAGGAGCTGTGATAAGTAGACAAAACCTTCCCTTTCATTGTAAAAAATAAAAAAAATAACAGAAATAAACACTGCTAGCAGGGTTCAGTCTTACCGTCCGAGTAACTGATCTTCTGAACGCGTCTCCGTGACGACATTATCTCCCGAGGCTACGGAAATACTACAAAATCAAGCAATAAAAACGGGTTCATTTCCGCTCAGTAGAACAGATTTTCAAGCCTATCACCTACGCTGGACAAGAAGTTTTCATAGAGAGTATTAGTAATGACTCGAAAGTTTAATTCTCAAACTAGCGCTTTACATGGTCGGCTTTTTGGAAAGACCCTTCTATTACGATGAAAAATTAAAAATAAAATCACGTCTCACTTCAACTACTACTTCGCTGAAAGCATGAAATGCACATGAACGCGTAGAGAAAATCTTCTTGTGTCAAAGTCAGACGTTTAATACGGAGTTTCCTCTTCGAAGCGGAAAAACAGTTGCTAATGAAGTGCCTCACTTAGGCACCATCAATCGATGTTGCCGCCGACCCACCCTGCCCACACCCCGCTGCACGTGAATTGGCCAAAAACCACCTTGGTGAATCAATCTTATTTTCCCTGCTGCGTTGCAGACAAAAGGTTTTTTTTTCAAGATATAAGCACATCGTTAGAATCGGTAAATTATACTCTATCGAATGATAACGAGTACTTTAGAGAAAGAGCTCTGTTCGGTGAGAAAATGCGCGTGTGAAACAAAATTCTTTGCTTTTTCTTTTAAGCTTTTCAGCATTATGAAAGGGTCTTTCAAAAAAACCCGACCATGTATAGCGCTAGCTTGAGATTTAAGCTTTTGAATGACTATTAACTCTTAATGAAAACTTCTTTAGCAGCGTAGGGGATAGGCTTGAATATCTCTTATGCCAGATGGAAAAGACCAGGGTGTAACTTCAGAAGAACGAATTTAAACAGTGGAGTGACACATACAATGAGAGTTACGAGTTTACAACTCTACTTTTCCACTGGATTGTAAAGAAAGTCTTTCCACTGGAAATCAAAGGACAAAGGAGAATCGAACTATGGACGTGTGTATCGCAGGGCACCCTCTAACCACTGCGCCATACGCGCTTTCTATTGGAATAAATGCAAAAATCGAAATGAGAAACAACCGAGTGTAGAGGTGGAATCTGGCATCATAGCTTACACCAAAACGGTTGCAGTTACAAAAAGTACGCAAATTTCCGTCATTTTGCAAATAGTGCAACAAAAAAAGTGTGGATGGGATGGCGTAGTGGTTAAAGACGCGGTGAACCACAAAGCAAAGCGATATAAGTGGTCCTGGTTCGATCCCTTCCACTACACACTATTGTGGTCAATCAAAGAACGCCTTGGGAAACCCCCTACATCGGCTATCTCCGAGATTACAAAGAGATTTTCTCGACCAGCATTCTGCGATATTCATAAAGACGACGAAATTCTTCAAGCAGCAGCCGAAGCAACTCGCAAAATCTTCAAAGACCTTTGAAATTGAGATAAAGAATTAAATAAGAAAAGATCCGGTCTGATATTTCTCAAAACCATTACATTTGAAATAAATTGAAGTGTAACCGAGTCCACATGGATGATCATTAGACGTGCTATGCAAAACTGCAAACCTCGGGCAGGAGTTGTACCCTCGCCTCAGTCTTTCCTGGTGCGCGTGCTAACCACTGCACTACCGACGCCCTATTGTGTTACCACACCTCCTGCAATACAAGATATCGGAGATGTCATCAGCAAACCGTCAGAACGTTGGTCTATTTTCCGGTAGTGCAGTGATTATCACGTGAATCTGGAAAGAGTGAGGGTCCGGTTCAGCTCTCGTCCGAGGTTTGCAGTTTTTCAGGCCAAATATGCATCTAATAACCTCGAACGCATAGGACCGACTTTATTCAAGGTATCGGAACTTCACACGACTCTGACACTCCAAGTATTTGTTGCAAGCTTCTCGTTAACCGATTAACTGCCGCGGGCGCGGGAACGACTCCACCTCCTCTGCCTCGATTAGTCACCGACAACAGTACTAGTTTTCGTTGCAAGACCGGCAGCTAAGTTTTGGACTGATTCATGTGGTCTTGCAACGAGAAGTAGTGCGGTACTCGCCGACTACCCGGTGCAGAAAAGGTGGATTCGTTCGCCGCCCAGTTTTGGGCCCGCAGAAGTCAATCGATTGAATTAACATCGACGAGACAATTCTATACACGCAGAAATGTCCAGCTGTGGTGAATATGTGGACCTGGTATCACATGAACAGAACTCCATCACCAATTCGCCTTTCAGTCTGGATAAGCACAATTCCGATTTGGACCACTATTAACACTTATGGCACCATGAACCCAAACCTCTGCGTGTCTAACCACCCCTGTGTTGCGTCTAACAATGGCACGCTGGGGTAGACGCCATTGTTAGACACCACTCGTTCCATTGTTCGACGCAACACGCTGGGGCGTTAGACGCACAAGGAGTGTGTCCATGGTCCTGTAAGGGTTAACCTCCTGGCATTGACATGGTGATGAATCTACTCGGAATTAGCCAGTGAAGATCCGTGCACGGCTGGAGATAAAACGGGCAAAAAGTAGATGGCACAAATAACACCGATAGGGATGGAGGGGGAAAGAAGAGAATAGCTCTCTGATAGTTAAAATTACATAACTTCAAAATCTGAATTTTCGAGGAAACCTTAAGAACGGTTGATAATCTGACCCCGACTACGGCCTTTCATCTCTCAGAGGTCGGTGGAGTAAATTCCGATTTGCCTGGAGGCTTTTCGAATCCACAAAGATCGGCGAATATTTACAATGGACACCCATGAAAGCTCGAGTCAAGCCTATTTCAGGATATCATGGAGAGCCAGTTCGACCACTAATCCACGATATTCATGAAGAAGACAAAATCTTCAGTAAGAGCTAAACCCACAGGATAATACGAGGACATCTGTGAATGATAGATGCCAGTTGCGTAAATAAATGAAAGCAAAGCCAGGTTCTGCACTATGTGTGAAGTGCAGTTGTAAGAAATAGTAAAGAAAAAAATTACACTGGAGTTAACAGCAGTGTTAGCCCATTTTAAACCTCACGAACAGGCTACTCCAAATTTGGGACTTTGTTTTCAGGGGGCACCTCTTTCGGTTGACAACAATTTCAGTGCAGAATAGACTTGGCATCGTGCTTTATGCAGGCTTCAGCTATTACTGTAGACAGTTAGATTACCAACATTGAGCGTTTAACCTATTGGGGACGGTATAGACCTTTTAAAACACGTTTTATAGAGGGTTTTTTCGATGGGCAAAGGTTATTCGCTGGACTTTTATCGATCATTTTCGACGGCTTGAAAAAAGATGATTTTAATACTGTTCCCGATTTCTGAGAATGCTTTCTCGGTGAGTGTAGCAGCCCAGAAAACGATCGACTGAAGCGGACTACATGGCTCCACTGCCTGTTGGGCACTCGACCTTTTCAATTTAGTGGTACATATAACGATCGTACGCTTTAGATTATCGCTGAAGTATTAATGAAATTGTTAAAGATGGACGATAACAGCACTAAGTAGTTCCTTATTTTTTTCTTAAGGCAAACAAAGGTGTTATGACAATCTTTATTTAAACAGCTGACGTTTCGGCAGTTTAGCCTTCTCCAGAGCTTCAAAAGGTCGAGTTGCTCACAATGCAGCCATTCGAACACCTCCATTACTCTTTCGGAAAAATTCCCCAAAACCAGATTTCAATCGCATCAGTCTTTCCAAACTCTGAAGTAGGCGAGACTGGCGAAACATCAGCTGTTTGAATAAGGATTATTATAACACATAGTGTCTGGCGAGAAGAAAATAAGGACTCTATGAAGCATGCCGACGTTAATAGATAGTCGGTCTTAAGAACAGCCTTGAGTCAAGCAATCGACATTCTATCACTCCGAACGAACGCAACATTGAGTGATCATTTCACTTGACGTAGAGTGGTAGTTCTTCGGCGATGATTCCCAAGAATAGTTGGGACAAACAGCCGAATTGTATGTGGAATTAAATTTTACTCTTACGCAATAAATAGTCGATATAGGTTTTTACTCCAGTCAATGAAGCTCGCTATAACTGCTATGATCGAAGATGAGAGACAAAAAATTTCAGCGAGAAGGGCGTAACGTACGTCTACGACTAAAGATGCCATACCAGACCACTGAAAGGTTTAAACATTCTGCAAGCCTATATTGAATTTTCAAGCACGGCTCAAAAAAGTTAGTTTAAAAATATTGTGGAATAACTTGACTTCAAATGGGCCTGAAAACAATAGTAAGCACCATTTCAGGATGTTCTTTCTTGTTGGCCGCCCTTGGTGTTGTATTCAATGCATTGCTGCCAAAATTTTCTGCGTTTTTTGACTTAACATTCGGTTTTCAAATTTTCTTTAAGCATTTTGCGCCCTTCGCGTATTCTACGTATCCTCTGTATTTTCATGTGCAACCTTTAATGCCTCAGAAACACTTCTACCACTTGTATTTGATGAAAAAAAAAAAACTCAAACACGAGTCAATAGGACACCGCGACTGCTAATTACTGGCACATCGAATTGTCACTGAACTGTGAGAATTTTGGCTTTTGTACCATCTAAAAACAACAATGATTTCTAATCTAATTGCATACTGATGGCTGAAGACAAGGTAGAGCATCGGGGCGCGTGGAGACTTTGCTGAGCAATTACTAAGTTGGAAGGAAAGCTTCCATCGTTTGATAAAACATTCAAACCTTATGCATATATTCAGACAACGAACAACCACAACTATTCTTCAAAATCCAGGCCATCGTTATTCACCACTTTTTCCATCGATCCGCCAGGTTTCGGATCTGATCGAAGTACCAATCGTTCGGCTCCGAATCAAAGAAATCTTTACATGCTTCTTCAACTTCATCGAAAGATTCAGATAGGTGACCTTCCAGAAAGGGTTGCATTGATCGGAAAAGGTCGTAATCAGATGGAGCAACGTCCGGACTATAGGTGGAGGCGGTAGAATCTCAACTCCGTTCAATTCCTCAAACTTTGCCTTGATCTTTTCGAGCTCTGTGTGGTTTTGCGTTGTCTTACTGAAATAAAACGCGCTTTCGACTAACAAACGTTTTTGTTCCCTGGACAATTCCATTCTGCAGCAAATATAGACAAATTATATATCAGTAGATGCGCAAGAAGTAGACCTTTCAAATGATATGAAAATCACACACGAGTCATGCTAAAGAACGACATTCCCATCCCAGCGATAGAAATTTTCTTTCCGACCTAATATGAACCGCTTGATCGACTTTCTCTTCAAGATCACAACTGTAGCTGTAAATAACTTCAAAGTCCAATTCTCTCCAAAAATCGGCATGAATAAGGAAATGTAAAATTTCTTACGAATTATACTTTTCTGCAATTACAACTTCCACGAGTTTGGTTTTTTTTTTTCAAAATTTGATGGCTAACGTCTCAGCTACCGAGCCTTCGTCAGAGCCTAGACGCATATATCATAGCATACCTGATTACTCGGTTAATATTTCGCATGCATCAAGAATCCACAGATAACAATCTAACAATCTAGTCATCTAAAAAAAACCCTACCTTAATTATACTCAAATGGGAGAGGTCACCGGTCTTATCTGACACACTTTGAGAAACGTTTTTTCCACTCATTTTTCAGAGTGTGCCACAAAAGACCGGTGACCTCTCCAATATAAGTATAAATAAGGGGGGAGAGGGGAATTCAAAATGATTAGACTGTTAAACTGTTCTATATTGGATTCTTGATGCATACGAACTATTAGCGAGTAATCATACATACATATATATATATGTATATATATATATATGTATATATATATAAAGGATAAAGGATAAAGCTCTCGGCGTTGATCAATCCCTGAGGGATGCGCCATGCATTCGACTTTAATTTTTAACTTCGTTTGAGGTTATTGAATGCATATCTGGCCTTTACAATGACTCGCGGAGGCCTCCCGTTGAACCGAGTCAGTGCTGCTTATCCTCCCAGACAAATCTGAGACCTGTCTGGTACCAGTTTACCGACCCCGGAGGGATGGATGGCTTGGTGAGCCATGAGCGCGAGATCGAACCATTGACCTCGTACGCGACGCAGGGCACCTCTAACCCCTGCGCCACATGCGCTCATATATATATATATATAATATATATATATATATATATATATATATGTATATATGGTATAATATGTGTGTCTAGGCTCTGACGAAGGCCAGGTAGCCAAAATGTTAGCCATCAAATTTTGAAAAAAAAAGAGGTACGATCCTCGTGCAAGTTTTAATCACAGAAAAGGACAAGGGAAAAAAAAATCCATACCGTTCAACTCGATGTGATCAACTTCTAAAATGCGTTTTTACATTTTATTTAGCACTTTTATAAATATCCTCTTTCTACACCTACATGACAACGTTGTGGACCTATAACGCTCCTATGAATGCACTACTTTTAGCACTTTAGTACTTTATTTGATCCGTCATCACAGTGCTTTTTTCACTGTGCAGATCCCAGTACTTCTAGCATTCACTTTGTTTTTTCGTCTTCTTGAACGGCGAGGAATATTGGTTGAGCGAGTCCCCTTGCAGTCTCGAGGGTAGCCTTGCTGTGGCATTCCATAGGGCGTTCTTGATGATTGCCTGAGAGAAGTGGGGGGAACGGGGCGAGGGTGGA